CATGCCTATAATCTCAGCTACTGGGAAGGCAGAAGCAGAAGAACCACAAGTTCAAGATCAGTCAGTCTGGGCAACTGAAAAAGGCCCTGTCTCGAAACAAAAAATAAAATGGGCTGGGAATGTAGCTCAGTGGTACAGCACCCTTGGATTCAATCCCTAGTACCACACATTTAAAAAAAAAAAAAAAAAAAGTGAAAAGGCAACATACCCACTTCATTTTTTTAAATTTTATGGATTTAGTCTGGGGGAGGGATGGTTATTAAAATGTTTATGTTTAGAGTAAACACAATTTCTCAAAGGTTGGAGGGGGTCTAAAAAGTTGGAATAGTGAGAGCCAACACCTATATAGCACTGTGTCACTGAAGTTAAGTACTTCACATATCAACTGATTTAATCTTCAACACTGTAAGATAGGTATTATTGCCAGCTCTATTTTATAGGAGGAAAACCAGAGTCACAAAGATGTTACTTAAGACTGTGTTTAACTAATAAATGGTAAGGCTAGAATTTGGACCCAGGAAATACAGAATGAAAATCTACACTTTGAATCACTATAATAGCAGTATATCTCCCAAGGACACACAGCGGCAGAATTAAAATGGCAAATGGAAATAAATGGCTTACTTTGAGAAATGGTGTTAAAGTGTATAGTGTTAAAGAACAAAAGCAAGGCCAAATGTGGTGGTGCACACCTGTAATCCCAGCCACCCAGGAATCTGAGGCAGAAGGATCCAAAAATTTTAGGTCAATTGGGTAACTTAGCAAGAACCTATCTCAAAATAAAAAGGGCTAGCAATGTAGGGATGGTAGAGTGCCCCTGGATTCAATCCCAGTATGGGGTTGGGGGTGACATACACAAGTGAGCAACACAGCTTAAATCAGAGGTTTTATTCAGGTGACAGAGCACTTACACTTTCTGAATCCATAACTTAACAATTCATCTTTTACTGTATTAGAAACCATTCTGGCCAGGTATGATAGCACATGCCTGGAAATCCAGCTATCTGAGATACTGAGGGAGGATTACTAGAGCCCAAGAGTTGTCAACCTGGGCAACAAAGCAGTTTTTTTGTTGTTTTTTTTTTAAGTTGTACATGGACACAATATCTTTTTTTTTTTTTTAATATGGTGCTGAAGATCAAATGCAGTGTCTCTTCCATGAGAGGCAAGAGCTCAACCACTGAGCCACAAACCCAGCCCAACATAGCAGTTACAAAAGGAAAGGAGAGAAGGAAAAGAAATTGTTTTGGAATTTTGCATAATCATAAAGCCAATAATAGGTTAAAATAATTTTTTTTTCTAAAATTGCAAGGAGGAATACCATTTTGGTGGCAAGAGATTTGATTTCACTTCATCTAATTAAGCAGTGAAAACAATGTTCTGAGCAACTAGTGAAGTATTCTGACATCTGGGATTTACAATAGCAGCAATGGCAAACACAGCTGAGATGGCATTAATAAAAAATTGTTTTAGTAAAAATCCTTTGGACTAAAGACATGAGCAACTAAAAGTAGAAACTCCTAAGAGACAAAGCATAACAGAACCAAGAATGTGATAGTGTAGAGAAGCAGCAAAACTAAGCTGTTGTTTGGAAATAAAGAAATAGAGGAAGATAAGGAAACAAATGTTAAATCAGAATAATTTTTAGGAGAATAAGCTAATCACCAAAAGAGTTTCTAAATGGTGGCAAATTGTCCACAGATAGTGCAGCTGCAGAAGATACAGGACTTAACAGATGGAGAAGGTAAAGCAGAGATTAGTAATCACCACTTCAATGGGCCCAAATATAGATATAGCTGACCAAGCACAAAACTTGTCTCAGAAAAAACAGCATGAAAGCCTAGGAAATATTCAGAAAGAGAAAATGTTAACACTCTGACATCACCAAATTCATTCATTTGATAAATATTTCTTGAAATCTATTATGTGTCTGGCAATATTCTAGGTGCTAGAAATCCGTGATGCCATACCAAGATAAAGCCCCAGTCTCTTGGAATTCACATTCTAACAGGGGAAATTACCAAATATATTTGGAAGAAAACACTGAATAAACATTATCATAAAACAATGGAGACCTTTAATATATAGGTATATAAAGAGCATAAGTGAACACAATATTAATCCTCCCTCCCTATCAGACAAAGTCTTATAGCCTAAAGTGATTATTGTCTTCCTTATCCTCTAGGGATAATCAATACAGAAATTCATTTAAAATGTATCTACAAAGAAAAGTACAATTTGATTTTCACTTTTAAGAAAGCCTGTCAATATTACAATCCAGGGGCTGAGGCTATGGCTCAGTGGTGGAGCACTTGCCCAGAATGTGTGAGGCACTAGGTTTAATCCTTAGCACCACATAGAAATAGAATAGAGGCATGCTGTCCATGTACAACTATAAAATTTTTAAAAAATATATATATACATATATTACAATCCAGACCAGGCAAAGTAATGGTACTTCAAAGTTTCTCAAATTTGACAGCTATTGGATCAAAACATTTTATTAGTGTAACTTTGTAGTATAAAAATAACTATAAATGATTCCCTAATATACCATACAAATATAAGTGGAAAAAAAATCCCAAAAAACCAATATGAATCTTGAAGCAAAAACTTCAATATATGGTCTTGATGGGCTTTAAGAATCACACTAATTCACACCCACATATTACTCTAGGCTGCAACATTTGGTTTAGATTCCTAAAAAATAATTTGGTTTACTAAGCATGGGTGTTGGCCATAATATGAAAACATATTTTAGGGGTAAGGAGAGGATTTGATCTTTCAGGCCTTAAAGAAATTAATGGGGGCTGGTGTTGTGGCTCAGCGGTAGAGCACGTGCCTGGCATGCCCGGGGCCCTGGGTTTGACCCTCAGCACCACATAAAAATAAATAAATAAAATAAAGGTATCGTGCCTAACCAAAAAAAAAAAAAAAAAATCGTAAAAAAAAAAAAATTAATGGAAAGCAGCTCATTTCCCACCCTGCCACTGCCCCTGTGTACTGGAGACTGAACCTAGGAGCACTCAGTCCTTTCTATTTTGAGACAGCATTTTACAAAGTTGCCAAGACTGGCCTTAAACTTGTGATATCCCTGCCTCAGCCTCCAGAGTAGGACATGAGCCACCACACCTGGCTAGGAGCTCATTTTTAATATTTGATTACCAATCTCTTTATCTTCTTGTCTCAGTGTAAGTATTGCAAATCCAAATTATTGTTAATATAAGAGACAAATGTGTGTATATATAAATCTGTTGCAGAAGACTCAAGAAATAGATAAGTGTTCCAATTTTATGCTTCTAAAATATGATACCATGTTAAAGTTAACAAATGTATTTCAAAAGATCCAAGCTCCATACCTATCCAATCTTCTGTAACACCTACATACTACAGAAATCTGATTTCAACCTACCACTCCTTTTAAGTGTTTCTTAACAAGTAATCTGTTCTCTACATACAAATGAGTAACAATGGGAAAGCAGTTGTTCCAACAGGAGCTACCCTTGATTATAAAGAAGCATAATATAATTGGATCTCACTTGCTTTAAAATGTTAATATTACTCGGGGTTTCTTTGATTAAAAATGCAAAATTCATTTTTAGTAACAACACTAAAGTCCCCAGCAAACAAAGATTAGGCATAAAAATAACTGGTTCTCTTTTCAACATATCTTTGCCACAAAGAGGGAGCTTGAGTAGACTTGGGCTTATTCTCTACATCAAATAAGTCATTGAGAAGTCGAACAGTCTAGGAAAGCCATTTTGGACCAAGGAATTGCTCCCTCAAATAAGTTGACTTGGGACCTTAAAGTTAACGCCTAAGAGACTACAGATGGTGTGTCTTAGGTTTTATTCCCTGGCACAAACTAATTCTGAGATGTTTTAACCTTCCTGGCTTTTAACACATTTGGAGCGGCCAATAACGCAGATACCAGAATTTCAAAACCTCATGTCTGAATCCGATGTGTTTGGGAAGCCGGCAGAACGGCCCCTGGGTGATGGCCGGACCAAGTCCGCAGGAAGCTGTCTTAGCTTGGTGAGCCCCTGACTTGTAGGAGTTAAAACTCTCACCCCTTATATACTGCGATGACGTAATCTTCCACACTGCATTTCTCTTGGACTTAAAGGGGAGGTGGGGGGGAAAGAACAAAGAAAATTTCCCCCTAGCAAGGGGAATTAAGGAAGCGGCCGACGAGGGTTTCGGGAGGTGGTTAGGTAACTCCCTGAAAGCGAAGCCTGAGCTGAACAAGAGCAGAGTCTGAGAAGCAAACGGCAAGACCAGGAACTCAACCCAAGGCAGGAGTCGGTGCAACCGGGGGCGCCGGGCAGAGACCCGCCCTGCCCAGCCAAGCACCGGGCGGAGCGGCGCCCGGCGGAGGCCCAGCCGGCAGCCGGGCGGACCCTCCCCGCCGCCACTTCCAGGCCGCGGTCGCAATTCCGCTCCCCTCCCCCGCCCGCCGCAAAATGTCCGCGGCGGCGCCCCGCGAAGCAGGAAGTCCACGCCGGAGCGCAGCGGGCAGGACCCAGCCCCCGAGCTCCGAGAACCGGCCCCAGCCCGCCCCGGCGCCCAAGCGCCCGCAGGCGGTCCTGCGGCCCTGAGGCCCTGAGCCCGGCATCCCGCCCGCAGGACCTCGGGAGCCCGAGGGCCGAAGGGAGGGGGAGGGGAGCCGGCGGCTGGATGGGTGTGACCCCTTCCTTCCGCCGCTGCCGGTGACAGCCCGGCCAGGCCGCGCCCTCAGTCCGGCACCCCGGGCCCGGCCGCGCACCTCCCGCGGGCGAGCGCCCCGCCGCGACCCCTCCCCTCAGCTCCCGCAGAATCCGGACCCGCGCGAGCCCGCGGGCGCAAGCGAGCCCGGCGCTGCCCAGCGCTCTATGCCCCTGGCCCCCGGGGGCCCCAGAGACCCGACGCCCTCGAAGACCGAAGAGGGCTGGGGGGACCGCGCGGGGTGACCGGACGGTGGGGGAGCCGCTCTCGCTGGGAGCCTCAGGCCCCGCACTCACCTCAGCTTCTCCGCCGGGGCGTTGGCAGCGCTGCGCGGGGTCTCCTCGGCTGCCGGACAGGGGCACGCACCTGACGTCAGCACGCAGGAGACGCACGGTTGGATGCCCGCGGAAGTGGGTGGGACGAGGAGGTAAAAGAGGCGGGAGCGGTCCGGGGAAGGGCGGGGAGGGGCGGAGTCTGAGTCTCCTCCCACCGGCCGGGATTGCGGCGGTTTGTCCGCCTCCCACCTTCCCAGCTGTACTCCGCACCTTTTTCCTTATGATTGAGTATAAAGCGCTGACACTAACGTTTGTTTTGAAACTTGCAACCTCTTGAAGCAAAGAATTATTCCCTTTGCTTCTGAGAGAGTAGTGACTTGTCCGAGATCACTGCAAGTGGATGACTTCCTGATAACCCCGGGCGTACGTTCAATCCGCTCTGCTTGAGAGGTGAACACCGCTCTTCTTATCTCTGCCCAGACCTCGGTGTCCCTGGCTGCAGCCACATGAGTTTGCTTTTGGGTTGGAGACTTCCTCCCTTCCCAAGGCCTTGCATTTGTTGCTCTGCCTTCCTCTTTTTCCCTGCACCTCATATGTCCCTGCCCTCCCTGATCATCCTATCTTGGTTTTTGTTTTTGTTTTCCTGGTATCGGGAATTGAACTCAGGGGCGCTCAACCACGGAGCCACATCCCCAGCCCTATGTTGTATTTTATTTAGAGACAGGGTCTCACTGAGATGCTTAGTGCCTCACCATTGCTGAGGCTGGCTTTGAACTTCCGATCCTCCTACCTCAGCCTCCCCAGGCAGGCGCCACCCGGTTTGCTTATTTCATTCATATATATATATATATATATTTATATATATATATATATATATATTTTTTTTTTTTTAAGAGAGAGAGAGAGGGCTGGGGATGTCTTCGGCGGACACAACATCTTTGTTTGTATGTGGTGCTGAGGATCGAACCCTGGCCGCAAGCATGCCAAGCAACCTCGCTACCGCTTGAGCCACATTCCCAGCCCCTATATTTTTTTTTATTATATTTATTCACCTGTCTTCCCTGACACTGTGCAAGCTGCGGGAAAATAGAGATCTTCCCTTTTTCATTCACAGATGCATTCTAATGATGGAGAAAATAACTTATTTTAATAATATTTCACATATTTGGCCAAGAAAGTCTCCTAACTCCAATATAGCTGATCTAATAGTCATGTGGTTTTTTTAGGTGTACATGGACACAATATATTTTTTTTGTTTATTTTTATATGATGCCAGGGATCGAACCCAGTGCCTCACGCATGCTAGGCAATCTTTCTACCACTGAGCCACAATCCCAGTCCTAATAGTCATGTTTTCTTTTGTATTTTTTAATTACAAGAGCAACTACATTTTTTAGTGTTTACTACAGGCCTGATGCTAACAGTTTTCCATGTGGTAATAGATTATTTATTTATTTCTTTGTGTACTGAGGATTGAACCCAGGGATGTTTTACCACTGAACTACATCTCCAGTCCTTTTTATTTATTTTGAGAGAGGTTCTCACCAAATTGCTTAGGCTGATGAACTTGAAAAATCCTCCTGCCTCAACCTCCCAAGTAACTGGGATTACAAGTGTGCAACCACCAAGCCCAGTAATAGTTACTAATTTAATACAACCAACCTGTGAGTTAGGAAGTATCACCCTCGTTTTGTGGATGCATGAATTGATTCTCAGAGGCATTAAGAGACTTGCCTAAGGTCATCACAGCAGGCAGTGGCAGAGCAGGGACTTGCTCTGCAGAGTCTGGCTCTAGTTGACAACTATGATATCACACCACCCAACATATATAATTTTTTTAAGTCTTTTTTTTAGTTGTAGTTGGACACAATACCTTTATTGTATTTATTTTATTTTTATGTGGTGCTGAGAATTGAACCTGCGTCCCACACGTGCTAGGCGAGTACTCTACCGCTGAGCCACAATCCCAGCCCTCAGCATATTTATTCTAAAGAAATCATAAGCCTGGGCTGGGGATGTGGCTCAGCGGTAGAGCTCTTGCCTAGAGCGTGCAAGGCCCTGGGTTCGATCCTCAGCATCACAAAAATAAATAAATAAATAAATAAAGGTATTGACAACTACAACTAAAAAATAAATATTAAAAAATATATTTAAGGGACTGGGGTTGTGGCTCAGTAGTAACGTGCTTGACTAGCATGCGTGAGGCACTGGGTTCGATTCTCAGCACCACATACAAGTAAATAAAATAAAGGCCCATCAACAATTAAAAAATACTTTTAAAATATATATTTTTTAAAATAAATCATAAGCCTCTGTGTAGTACCACACCTAATGATACCAACTGTGAACATGTTGGTATACATGTCTTCACAGTATGCATTTTTCTATGGATATACATTTATTGCAGAAAAATAAAACTGTAAGCTCCTTCTCTCACTCAAAAACTACACTATGGACGTCTTTCCAAGTCAAATAAAGCATCATTTGTAATGGCTCATTCTACTATGTGGGCATTACAATATTTACTCAATCTCCTACTGTTGGAATTTAGTTTGGGCTATTATAAAATTCTTTTTCATTGCTGGTAATCAAACCCAAGTCCTTCTCCATACTAAGCAAATGCTCTGCCCCTGAGCTGCACCACCTCTAGCCCAGGCTACTGTGATTTTTGACTATCATAAATGTATAAGCTTAGTTTCTTAAACTGCAGGGGGATGTGGTGTTTCCTTCCACAAGGCACTGCCCTTTCCTTCATCCCATGTCACAAAATCCCATGAATGTTCCCAAACAAAATCTGCCCTTTCCCTAGTAGCAGTATCGGCTATTAGGCTTTTCCTGCCTTTATTCTGAGGACAGGAACTCACTTAGCACTTCGTTAGGTTTTTGTCAGTCTCTCCTTGACATTTCACTGACCCCAATTAGAAAGGTGTTACTATTTGACCCCAACCTCTGCTGTGCTGCCAGCCCAGACTCCAGCTTCTCTCTCCTAGTAACTGGGAGCCGCCCGTGAGCCTCCAGCTCCCCTTTGCCTGTGGATCGCATTCCAATATCCACCATCTCTCCTGGAGGAGCCCCTGCCTCCACTCTCAATCCAAGTACCACTAGAAGAGAAGACCCTGTCCCTATATGCAGGGACAAACATGTGACCCAGGCTTGGCCAATCAGAGCACTGTAGAAAGACCCTTTGCCGCTGCATTTCAACAACTGGCATGTGATCCAATAAGCTCCAATTATGGAACTTGGACAGAACTGTCCAGTTCAATGGATCTATTTGCTGGGAGCTGTGTGTGATGGTGGCACTACTGGCAGCCAGCTTCCCACAGGGAGGAGAGAGTCTGCCTGAGAATGAGACCAAGGCAGAGGAGGGAAGCAGAGCAGAGAGACGGAGATGAGATGTAAAACCAAGTCCCAGTAACCTTGCATGAGCCACTGGGTCCAGTCTTGCTTCAGTTTTTGGTCATATGAGCCTACAAATTCCCTCTGCTGCCTGAACCAGGTGGAGTTACGTTTCTCTTACAATCCAAGATTCTACAATCCCTGTCCCCCAGGGGCCCTGTGTAATATGTCACTACCCTCTGTGCAGAGAACTTCCAGATCTCTACCTCCTCCAGCCCCTGTTCTCACCCCCATTTCCAAATCCCCAGCTTCTCCGAGGTTCCACGAGCATTGTCAAGTCTGTCCTCCATTCCTATCTTCTGCAGGTGCTACAGGACCTCTATTTGTACTTGGCTCCTGTACCCTTGACATCCAAGGGAACCCAACCTTTTCTGCCTTGTAGACTCTATGTCCATGAAACTCAGGTCCAGTCTCTAGAGGCTTCCTTTAAGAATCTGTGCTCTAATTCATTTTACTCAGGGAAACATTCACCTTCACAGATCTCAGCTCCAATGAGTCATTCCTTGGTTTTCTCTTTTGTCTTCAGAAGAAGAATCAAAGTTCTTTAGTTGGGCATATATACTGGGCCTCCGCAGTCTGGCACCAACTTGCTATTCTAAGTTCTTGCTATTTCCCTTTGGTATTAGCAGGGTTCTCCAGAGAAACCAACCAATAGGATGTAAACAGATATAAAGATCCATAGACAGGCAGAGAACTGGCCTATGTAATTACAGAGGCTGGCAAGTCCCAAGTCTGCAGGATGGGTGGGCAAGCTGGGGATCCAGGACAGTCAAGGGTTGTCATTCCAGTCCAAGTTGAAAGGCCTGAGACCCAGGAGAGCTGATGCTTAGACTCATTGTTTGAACAGGGCACAGTGGTGCACACCCATAATCCCAGCAGCCTGAGTGGCTGAAACAGGAAGATTGCAAGTCCAAGGCCAGCCTCAGCAACTTAGTGAGACCCTGGCTCAAAATAAAACATAAAAAGGGCTGTGGATGTAGTTCAGTGGCAAAGCACCCCTGGATTCAATCCCCAGTACCAGAAGGGAAAAAAAGAAAGAATTCGTGTTTTAGCTTGAGTCTGAAAATGAGAAAAAATTTTTTGCCTTACTTGGGGGAGGGTCAGCCTTCATGTTTTACGCAAGCCTTCAACTGATCAGATGAGGCTCGCCCACATAAGGAACAGCAACTTGCCTTGCACACTCTCTTCTAGAAACATGCTCACAGACACTCCCAACACAATGTTTGATCAAACATCTAGGCACAAATCAAGTTGACATAAAAGTAACCATCACACCTTCCCTCACACAGCTAGACTGGATTTCTTAGCATTACACATACAGGCACCATGATTTCTTAGCTCTCTGCCCCTGCTCTTGCTATCTAAAACACCTTTCCTGCTCACCCATCCTATCCGTCAAGTCCCACTCTCCTTCCCAAATGGACCATACCTTTCACCAACACTGACCCTGTGTCCCCACTCCGCCAAACTCCAATTCTTCTTTCCTTCACTGAGTAACCTGGGTCTCGGCTCGGAAGCCTCCTGGACAACCCCTGGCAACCAGTCGTTTCAAGATTTTGTATTTAAAACATACCATACTGGAATCATTCACTGGTGTCTACACCAGCGGCTGCTTGAGAGAAGCCTGGAGCTGCATTCCGTGCCAAA